AAGCAAATACGTCCCTCATGCATGCAAAAGGATGGATGGTGTGATTACTTATCCGATTTAGTGAATTTTCCGAGTAATTATAATGATCTTTTCCCAAGGACAGCAGTTTGCCTAGCCGTTATCCAGCCTTCATTCAAGCCTATCGCCAGGATCACAAAAGAAGGTTGCCAGTAGGTTTTGTCATGAGAGTGAGTCGGGATTAGGCTTAAGTTAATGTAACGTTCATGCGTTAAACAGTTGAGATAACTTGTCTCTTTTGCTGAATCGTTTACGGTCTAAAATGAAATTAACAGGTTGGAAGACACACAAGCTTCACACTTATCCACTTTGGAGGGAGCAAAATCCAATTAACTTGCGGTGTTTGTGAATACAGGAGCCGATGGAAGCGAAGTCGACAAGTATGCCTTAAATAAAATGAATGCAGCCCTTTCAGCCTAGCTTCATGAAGTGGCTTTATCTATGCGTATAAATGGAGAAACTTTGTTTTCTCCGGCCTTGGAAACAGACAAAATACTTTTAGATGCTACGTTCTGGAAGTGTATAAACATAAAAATATGGCTTTCTCTTGTTTGTCAATGACATGAATGCAGTTCTAGTGGAAATACTTTAAGAAAAAAGTGCAGTTGGTTAAAACAAATTTTATCCTACCCTTGCTTCTCGGATTGCTAAGTTGAGCTCTGAGTTCGCCTTTTTCAGCTTAATAACTTCCCTCTGGAGCAATCCATTTTCATTCGCTTTCTGCAAAGCATTTTCCTAGAGATGGAATGGGTGAGATTATACCAATAAAAGACTGGAAATATCAAGGGGATTTCAGTGAGAAAGAAATCACTAAAAGTCTTAAGTGTGACGTTTTTATGAAAAACGATTTATATATAAGATATATTCATTCTATTTGGTTGGGGTGATGGAGGACTGATAGTTGAATTTTCCCACAATGATATGAGAAGACCGTACGTTTCCATCGAATTTCATATAGCCTTGTGTTGCAAAAGGTTTTATCGTCCAGGGTGGAGTGTAATTTCAACTTCGCCTAGATATCCTCAGCACTCCCAGCAGGACTCGAATCGTGATAGTTCAGCGTATAATCTCGACACGTTAGTTACTACGCCCCACTGCCACGAGTGCCCACGGGTCATATCTACTGGTATTCTCTAAAACCTACTTATAAATGAAAAAAAACATATCTACGACAAATATGTTTTTAAACCCTGCAGAGTAGACAGATGCTAATTCCAAGAGAAAGAAAGTAATTATGGCACCTAAATGGCGGACTTACATGTCCGCCCAATTCAGAAGCAACTCACTTATAATGCAGAGTTTTCAAGACTACTTTATTAGGAAAAATGTATATTAGTCTACCTTATATTCTTTGGCGGCTTTGGCTTCAGTGTCAAGTTGTCCTTTGTAATTCTCCAAATGGGCGACTAGCTTCTCGTTTTCATGGCTCATTTGCCCGTATATACCCTGTAAACATTTACGGTACAGACGGAATAGGAGTATGAGCACGATAACTATATTCAAGGCATGCACTCAACCTACCTTTAAATGCCTAATTTTTGCTCGTAGGCTTAGTTCTTTCTTATCCTCCGAGACTTCAGATTCTTCCATTTTCGTTAAAGGCTCAGGTCCTGTAATATGAGCGTCCAAATATTCTCCCGTTTCTCGAATCCCCTGCTTTCTTTTTTGAGCTTCTGATAGCAAATCAGCAACGTCGTCCTGGAGATCAAAGATTTATATTTATAAATGCTTAGAAGCAGTGAGAATAAAAGAGGAAAAAAAGATAATTGCACGCCATAGTAATAAGATAAAATGTTGAGGGTTATTTTATAATAGAGCATTGGTTGAGGAAGGATCAACAAACTTTATGCGAGCCAAGCATAAGATTTCAATCCACCTCAACATATATTCTGCACGTGACAAGACTGGGAATAATCATTTAAGCGGTTGCTTCCTAACATGAAAAATCGCCACACTATACCTAAGGAGAATAAGTGCGTTTCGATTAATCGCATAAGGTAATATT